TGGGGATGGGCGCTGGGGGGTGGGCACTGGGCGCTGGGGAGGTGGGGATGGGCGCTGGGGGTGGGCACTGGGCGCTGGGGAGGTGGGCACCAGTCACTGGAAGGTGGGTGCTGAGACAGACACTGGGAGGTGACTGCTGAGGTGGGAGTTGGGAGGCAGGCGCCTGGTGCCCGGGCTCATGCCGTGCCCCACGCCGTGCGTCTCTGCAGGTGAGCCCCACAGGGGCAGCGGGCCGGGACGGCCGGCTGCGGGTGGGGCTACGACTGCTGGAGGTGAACCAGCAGAGCTTGCTGGGTCTGACGCACTCCGAGGCCGTGCAGCTGCTGCGGAGCGTGGGCGATGCCCTCACCGTGCTCGTCTGTGATGGCTTCGACAGCAGCGCCACCGCTGCTCTGGAGGTCAGTGCTCCACCCCTGTCCTGGCCGGGTCCCGGGACCCTCTCACAAACAGTGTGCCTGAGAGGTCGTGCCGCCTTGTCTGAAGCACTGCCCCAGAGTGTGGCACGGCTGTGTGGTGGGGTCGGCACAGCTGGACACGGCTCTTGAGAGGAGAGTGGGAGCCACTGAGCAGGGAGCATGGCCACCAGGCCGGGACAAGGGCGGTCAGAGCCCTGCCCAGGGCACAGTCCCAAGCCCGAGCTGATCAGCCCATCAGGGTTCCTCGGGGATGTGGGTGGCGGGCACCCACCCCAGCCGGCTGGGGCAAGCATTCTGCTCTTCCGGCCCCTCATCCCTGGGCCCCGTGTTAGCCAGCACCCCACCAGCAGCTCCTCTGCCAAAAGCTCATTCCCAAGCCCTTTGTCCGACAGCTCGCTTTTGTTTTCTGGGTCCCAGACAAGCCAGGCTCTGGGACTCAACCATCCCCCTAGCCCCATGACAACGCCTGGTCCGGCTGCAAGTCCTTGGTCTGTGTTCCTGACAAGCTGTGGTGGCCTCCTAATCAGGGCTGTCCTGCTCTCCGGCTCTCCATCCCTGCCCCTTCCTGGGTGGTTGGCACATGCTGAACACAGCTGCGCCCTCTGAGGGTTTTGCGAACATGGCCTCGGCTTTGCCCTGAGGGTGTCTCTGCTGGCCACTGTCCCTGTGGTGTGGGTGCTGTGCGCTCCCTGCCCTTTTGGGTGCCCCTTCCCTCCCCCGGCCGCTGCACATGCCCTCCCCATGCCACCAGCATGGCTGCCTGGTGGGCTCGTCCTATTATGCTTTTTCTCTTTGCTTGTTTCTCTGATGTTACACTGGAGGCTCGTGGTGATCATGGTGACCGCTCCCTGGGGTGGGGACCGCCCAGAGGGGCCTTCGTGCCCCCTCAGCTCGTGCTCACGGGAGCCCTGGCCTGGACTGTTGGGTCAGCAGAGAGGGCTGTGTTGTTAGTCGCTATCTAGTCAGTTGTGACTCAAGGCGAGCTTACATATAACAAAACAGAACGAACTCTGCCCGCTCCTGGGCCCTCTTCACCATTCTTGGGGTGTTTGAGTCCCCCGTGGTTATTGTGTCTGTCCGTCTCACGGAGTGCTTTCCTCGTTTTCACTGACCCTCCGTGTTACCAGAAACGACAGCCGTTTCTAGCGATTGGTCTTCCCTGATGACATTTCCAAAGTACGTGGGCGGACCCTGCTCTGCAGGCTTTTAAGGAACGTCCTGGTCGAATCCTTCCGAGACGGATCGGCTCGTTCGTTCGGCGGTGTTTCAGCGTCCGTTGTCAGTGCCGCGATCCAGACGCGTCGGTTCTTTTTCCTCGTTTGTCGTCCAGCCTTCCCGTGCGTATGAGGCGATTGGAAACACCACGGCCTTGGTCAGGAGCGTCTTAGTCATCAAAGTGACATCTTTGCTTTTTAGAACGTAACAGAGACCTTTTGCACCAGATTTGCCCAGTACACCAGGTGGTTTGATCTCCTGAGCGCTGTTTCCTTGGACGTTGGTTGTCGAGCCACGTCGGGTGACGTTGTCCGCAGTCTCAGTCTTCTCTCCACGTACTGTGAGGTTGGGTGTCAATCCAGTTATCTGCCCAGTTTTCACTGGCTAATTTTTGGGGGTAGACCTAACAAGCCTTTCTTCCTAGTCTGTCAGTCTGGAAGCTCTGCTGAAACCTGGCCACCATAGGTGACCCTGCTGGCATTTGAAATCTGGTGGCATAGCTTCCGGCATCACAGCAACGTGCAAGTCACCACAGTCCAACACACTGACAGACGGGTGGTGGAGAGAGTTTCACCTCGTGTTCATTTCTTTAGAATGGAAACCAAAGGTGTTTTATGTAACACACCTGTTTTAAAGCTTTTTGTTCAGAGAGACGAGAAGTAGATAGTCACTGAAGAGTTCAGGCGTCCCAGAGTGCGTACGTGAGCAGGTACGTGAGCGTGTCCTTGATCAAGCAGTGCCGGGTGTGCCCATGTACTCTGCTGGGTGGATGCACCCCTGGCCTCACCCTTGGTGAGTGGTGCAGCGATGTCCAGGTGTCCTGCTCGCACCCTCCATTCCCACGTGACCACTGGCAGGGGCCTGCCGTGCTGGCTGTGGCCATGGTGCTGGGCGGCCACGCCCCCACGGCAGCTGCCAGGAGCATCCAGCTCGCCGGCTGCAGTGCTGAGCGTGCACGGTCCCAGCTGGTACAGGCACAGAGGGCGCGCGAGAACCGTTCCTGGCAGGCTTCTTGCCGTGTCAGGAGACAGTCACGGTCAACGTGGCCACGTCACAGCACCGCTCACTCTGCTGGGAACAACAGAGCCTGCGTCATTTTCCCTGCGTCCCCCGTTAGGGTCGTGAAAACTTGTTTCTGTCTCACCTGACAGGAGGGAGTGAAGCCTGGCGCGCCTGTTGCTGGTCAGAAGGCTGCGTCCTCTCCTGTGGGCCCCTGCCTCTCAGGACATCCCGGTGCTCGCTTGTTGCACAGGTGTCTGTCCTTTGTTCTCTAGAGCATGGGTGGGGTTTTCTTGCAGTCTGTCACTTTCCTTTTACCTTTTTGAAATAGTGTCTTAGGGTTTACAAAATTTACATTTTTTACAAGTTAAATCCAGTCTTACACGACTTCTGGATTTTGGTTTTTGCTTAGGAAAACCTTTCCTATTGCAAGATTATAAAAATATTGTCCTTTTTTTTTTCTTTAGTATTTCTATAACTTTTAAAGGTGATGTAGCTCTGTAATCCACCTGGAATTTTTTCTCCCAAATAAACGTATATATAGTTGCCCCAACACCATTTATTGAATAGTCTGTCAATTTCCCTCTGTTTTGGGAGGAATGTTAGCTTTGTTTTGTGTTGAATTCCCACCTATTCCTAGGTTTGTTTCTGGACCTGGGCCCAGCGCCACCCTGTTAAACCCCGTAGTTTTCCCCCACACGTCTGTCAGTTTGTCGTACCGTGGGGGCTTGTGTGTTGCTGTGATGCTGGAAGTTGCCACCGGTATTCCAATCAGCAGGGTCACCGATGGCGGATGGGTTTCAGCTGAGCTTCTCGACTAAAACAGGCTAGGAAGAAGGACCTGGCAGTCTACTTCTGAAAATTAGCTGGTGAAAACCTTATGAATAGCAACAGAACACTATCTGATATAGTGCCAGGAGATGAGTCCCTTAAGTTGGAAGGCATTCAGAAGTCGACTCATCTAGTGCTGCTGTCACAGAAATCGCACAGGTGGATGGCTTTAACAAGGAGAAATCTATTCTCACAGTCTGGGAGGCTACAAGTGAAAATTCAGGGCGTCAGCTCCAGGGGAAGGTTTTCTTTCTCTGTCGGCTCTGGAGGAAGGTCCTTCTCATCAGTCTTGCCTGGACTAGGAGCTTCTCAGCGCAGGAACCCCGGGTCCAAAGGACACGCTCTGCTCCCGGCCCTGCTTTCTTGGTGGTATGAGGTCCCCAACTCTTTGCTTGCTTCCCTTTCCTTTTGTCTCTTATAAGATAAAAGGTGGTGCAGGCCACACCCCAGGGAAAACTCCCTTTATGTTGGATCAGGGATGTGACCTTAGTAAGGGTATCACAATCCCACCCTAATCCTCTTTAACCACAGGCAGAGATTAGGATTTACAACACATAGGAAAAGTACAATCAGAAAATGGGGGATAATTACACAATACTGGGAATCATGGCCTAACCAAGTTGACACATATCTTTGGGGGACACAAATCATTCCATGACAGCTGGGGAAGAGCTTGTAGTATGATCTGATACCTAACAGGCCAAGTCAGCCACTTTTTTTCTTTTCAAAAGTTTCTGTTGTTCTCATACGTTTTGTCATCTAAATGAATCTGCTGAGTTCCGTAATAAGCCTGAGTTAGGACACTAGAATTATTTTTGTAGAACTTTGTTTCTAGTGTGATTGGGTTTGTTCTAAGTATGTTTACGGATTGCTCGTGTTTTCTTACTAATTTTAGTAGATCCTATACCAAACCAGATCAGCCCAGTTGCTGTTGAGCAGATTCCACTCATGGCGACCCCAGGGGTGCCGGAGTAGAACTGTGCCCCATAGGGTTTTCATGGCTGATTTGTCAGAAGGAAATTGCCAGGACTTTTGTCCGAGGCACCACTGGGTGTGTTTGAACTGCACCCAAGCATATTAACTGTGTAGGCCACCCAGGGACTCCTAATAGATCCTAATAAATGTGTCCAGTTTTCTGGGTAGAAGCCCCACTTTCTGAAGAGGCAGAGGTGTGGGTCTCCCTGTCCAGGGTTTTACCTCTCAGACACTGTTACAGTCTCGTTGGGTTAGCCGGGACCTCTGGTCCTGTGCGCACTGGGGAGTGGCAAGTGTCCTTGCCCTGAGCCTGACTTTGAAGGGACTGTTTCTTCATGTATGTTGATATTTGCTCTGTAGATTCTTTCACAGTAGGTTTTACACTTGGGAAGCTGTTCCTATTTCTAGTTAGCATAACTTGTTATCTGAAATGGGTGTTGGATTTTCCGAAGGCCATTTACTGGCTTTTACTTCTGGGTGCTAAGTGAGGCCGGGGTTTAGCCCACAGCGGTTCGATGTAGCCAGCACTAGCACTTATAAATCAGCTGCTTCACGTAGATATCTAGATTCCTGCCTTCTCAGAGTGAATCGGTTGGCCTGGCACGCTGGCCCCTCGCTCCCACAGGACCAACGTCTGTTTCTGAGCCCTCTGTGGTATGGGGGGAGTTGTTCTCAATTTGTTACAGTTCCCCCCTCCCCCTTCCCTTCCCCTGTTTTTCTGAAACCCAGCTCACTGGACTCCTCTATTAACCTGTCTGGCCCTGTAGGGATCAGAGTTCAGCACCTGCAGTCTGTGATTCCGTTTTCTCATGCTAACCAGTTTCTGGATCAGCTTGGGGTGGGCTGTCCCAGCCCTCTGGAACAGTCCATCACACTGCGAGGAGCTGCCCTCAGCTCTTGCATGTTCTGCGTTCTGGGCCTGGAGCCTGTCTAGGGCACCTACATAGTGGTTTCCATGCTGATAGGCATAAACCTCGCCATAGGGCCGTGGGCAAGTGCTCGACTTCTCAGAGCCTCAGTCTCCTCGCCTGGAAGATGGGATGATAGCAGTGCCTGCTGCATAGGGTTATTGAGAGGGTTAAATAGAGTGGACGGAGCACAGCAGGCATCTGCTGTCATCACCAGCAACGGCATGATCCCCAAGCAAGTCTGGGATGACATCACTCTCCAAGAACCTTTTCACTTTGATCTTCAACATGCTTAGTATAGAGACTATTCTCCCTTTTACTACTTTTCTCTTCTACTGATCCATCCCCCTTCTCGAGCCGAATGTTTTTGCCTTTTCCCCCTGATCACACTTCTAAGGCTTTATTTTAACGGTCTTTTAAAGGAACCAGCTTTTGGACTTTGATCAAAGCTGCATTTCTTTTTTAGTATCAATTGCTGCTCTAATGACAAAGACTTCAATTATTATTTCTGCATTTATTGCTTTTAATTTTCTACAAATTTATCTGTAAAGAAGAGATTTCCTTTATTAGTTTTTTTCTTAATCCTGCAATTAAAGTGTATACAGGAAAGGCATGATAAATCCTTCTCTCCATTCATTTATTGATTTTTAGAATAACAGGTTGCTGCCCCAGCAACCTCCAAGGATGACTAATGAGGTAGTGGTGGTGTTTTTTCGATCATTATGAATTTATGGATCTTTACATCTTGATTTATTTTGATCTGTTGTTTTTGATGCTCAAATTGTCCCTTTGTGGGTCAGTGTTGGCTCCAGGGTCCCTGTCACATAACTCCTGTGGTCTTTGAAAACGTCCTTGCTTTCTGGAATAACAATATGTCTTGTATGTTCCCTGCTCCAGACCTGGAAGCCATCTTTTCTGTAAGGAACCCTGCTTCCTTTTAGTGGGAAGTGGTGTTTAGAGACCATAGTTGTGTGCTGGAGGTGCTCATTCCTACTGGTTGACATTGCTTCCACGCCTCTGCAGTGGATAGCGCTAGGGAGTGGACATTTTAGAAAAACGAAAATCATGAGTTTGTTATTTTCAATTCACATTTAAGATTACAGGATTTTTTTAGTAACTTTTAAAATCTTACACATGTGTCATTATTATAATTACATAATAATAATTTCAAAATAACAGTGCCAACATTGTTATTATCAATAACACCAGTGCAAACAGTTTTAAGATTTCTTTGTGGTTCTTCTTGTCCCTAGGATTTCTCTGCCTAGGATGCACAGTCAAAATACCGTGTTTTTAAGTCAGTGAAATAATTCTTTGTATGGTTATATTACCAAGTCAACATATAGTTAGGCTTATTTGATTTCAGCTTTTAGAGATGGCTTTTTCTTTTTTTCTAAGTTCTGTTTCTTAATTATGTAAACCGTTACATAGTTGCAAAATCTAAATTATAAAGTAAGGTAATTACATGGTTGCAAAGTCCAGACTATGAAACAAGGTACTTGTGAGAGGTCTCATGTCCATCTCTGTCGCTTCATCCCCGTAGGCTACTGTTTTCATTAATTCTTGGTTTATCTTGCCATCATTTCTAAAAAGTATGAGCATATCCCTAATATAGTTTGACGTGGAGAAGACTTACAGGAACAATTCAAGGAACGTCTCACTCAGACCCTGTCCCAGCGTCCCAGTGTCACTCTCGCCATAGCTCAAGGGTCCAGCCTAGGACCCCACGCTGGGTTCAGGTGGCATGGCTCCTTCACCTCCTTCAGTCTGAAAGGCCCTGCCTTGGCCTTCACAACCCTGACGCCCGATGAGCAGAGACTGTGGTGATGCAGAGCGTCCCTCCTTTGGGTGTGTCTGACGTTGGCTCATGATGGGCTTTGGTGTGTGCAGTTTTGACAGGATGATCACAGAAGTGACACCGTGTCTTCTCAGAACCTCCCATCAGGAGGCCTGGATGGCATCTGTCCTGTTATTGATGGCTTACCTTTGGTGACTTGGCTACAGTGGTGTTGGCCAGGTTTCCCCAGTGCAAAGTCGCTCTTTCCCCTTTGTAACTAACAAGTATTTTGTGGGAGGCACAGTGAGATTACGTCACTATCTCCTTCCTCGTCTCCTTTCCACCTGCTAGTGTCAGCCTCTGTCAGTGTTTCTTGGCGGTGGCTGAGTGGTGAGGGTCTCATCCATGGTTCCTTCTGCATTTATCAGCTGCTTTGCTGTAAGGAAGAGCTTCCCCTTTTCCCCATTGATGTATTCATCTACTTATCTGTCTGTTTGGACTCAGGAATTTGTATTTTATTCAGTGGGTTATCATTTGTTATTATTGTTACTCATTTTGATGCTCAAATCGTCCCTGACTTGGCCCGTGAGAGGGGCTCGAGCTGGCTGCTGGTCCCTTGACATGACCCACAGTTCTCTGAGCATAGTCTTATTTCCTGGCACAGAGTGTTCTGGGCTCATCTTGTACGTTCCCTGCCCAGCCCTAGAGTCAGGCACTGTTCCTTTTAGTAGGGAGTGACGTTTAGAATCCAAGATTTGGGCGCTGGGTGTGCTCATTGCTGTGGGGTGTGATTGGTCTCAGGACCACCCTGTGGACAGAGGACACACACTCTATGTTTATTTTTATAACTGTAGGAAAGCACTCATTGCCGCTCACACTTCGTCACCAAACCAGCCCTTTCCCTACCAGAATGCCCTTCTCTTACCGCCGTCACTGTTGTTACCTCTGCCCAGTCCCTGTGTGTGACTGTCTCCCTGCCCACCAGCACCTGCCTCACGGGCCTGCCTGGTGGCTCGTGACGGAGGTGTTGAAGCAGAAGGGAAGGAAGGTGCCTCGTCTTTCGTTGCTGTTTAACCTACTAGCTTTGCCAGAATCTGAAGGAGACGAGTGAGTCTCCCATCATAACCTTGTTTTATCAAGTTCCCAGATTTCTGGTGGTCTTTGCTCTATGTATTTAGCTGCTGACTTGTTTAGTGCGTAGTTCATGATGGTTGCACCTTCTTTGTGCATCATGCCATCTCCTGTTAACAGTCCCACGTTGCCCCTCATTCTAACCTTGAACCCTATGTTATCTGGGGCAGTTACTTCCTGTCCTTGCTTTCTCTGCCTGGTGCCTCTTTGCCCATCCCTTTATCATTTTCACTGTGTTTCTTTAAAAGGAGGAGGAGCTGGGGTTTGTTTTTCATGCACACTGCCAGCGTCCGTCCTCTAGGGCTCCCCACTCCCACTCAGGTGCCCGCCGCTGCCTGCCTCCTGTCTCCTCCTCCCTTCCTCTCCCCCATCCTGGTCACGCCAGTCCTTTCTCCTGCCCCTTGGTGGTGGGGAGCGAGTGAAACTGGTCTCCGCATTCCTGCTGCCTGTGCTTGTCCTTGACATTTCACAGTCCAAGCACAGTTCATGACTAGATGACACTCTTGCCCCTCAGGAGCCCCGCCTGCCCGCCCTGCCAAGATGGATCAGCAGGGTGGCCTTGCTCCCTGGACCTTTCTGCCCTTCCCAGGCCTGGGTCTGGATAAGATGGTGTAGCCCTTTTAGGTTCAGAAACAGTCAGATTTTCTCTTACAATGCATCCTTTGTTTCAAAATTCCTCACTTAACGCTTATGCTGCAAGCTCCAGACACAGCCCCCCATCGGAGCGCACTGTGGCTGCAGGGTCACACGCTGCTCGCTCCGCTTGTCCACGTGCCATCCTTCTCCTTGACTATCCACACCCTGAGTGCCTGGACGGTCTGCCTCCCCACCCCACCACACCCCCGCTGCAGGTCAGACCCCTCGGGTGCTGGCACAGAGCCGGGAGTCAGGCAGACGTGACCTTTGCCCACAGCAGCCCTGTGAGCCATGCACTGTGGCCACCTCACGTCACAGACGGGGATGCAACCTGGGATGATGATGTCGTGTCCAGGGCCGTCGGGGCATCCTGCCGTGTGAAGCCCAGCACGGCCCACAGGCCTTCGTGGGGCTGCTACGGCTGGGCCGGGCCCTGGTCTGCGCACAGCGCTGGCTCATCCCGGCGGGGCGGCGCCAGGACTGGCCCCCCAGCCACTCTTCCCTCCTCCCAGGTGTCCCCAGGTGTCATCGCCAACCCTTTTGCGGCAGGCATCGGCCGCCGGAACAGCCTGGAGAGCATCTCGTCCATTGACCGTGAGCTGAGCCCCGAGGGCCCTGGCAAGGTCAGAGCTGCCTGCGGCTGGGTGGGGTCGGGAGCCTGCAGCCTTTGGTCCCTGACCTTCATGTACTCTGCTCGCAGGACAAGGAGCTGGCTGGACAGAACCCAGCACGGGAACTAGAGGCCACAGAGGCCACAGTGAGTGCCAGGCCATCCCCAGCTGTAAGCTCAGGCTGTGTCCTCCCTGCTGGGTGCTGTGGGGTGGACGAAGCCCATAGGGCAGCAGGCGGACTGGGCCAGGTGCCCCAGGGGCCTTCATGCACCTCTGGCTGGGGCACCACCCGGGAGGCTACAGCCCAGGGTGCCCACACATGTGCCCAGCCCCCACAGTCACAGCCCACCTCCTGCCTACGGGCTTTCTGCTAGCCACAGGCATCCCCTGCAGTGCAGTCCCCCTCCGCACCCCCTACACGCCATCACAGCACTGTGTCTGTTCTGCTTCCCCAGGGTCGGAGCCCAGAGCCGCTGAAGCTGGACTACCGCGCCCTGGCCGCAGTGCCAAGTGGTGGCAGCGTGCAGAGGGTCAGTGTTGGGCCAGTGCTGGGCCTGTGTCCTCTGTCCCATCTGCCCACTGTCAGTCTGTGTGCCTGCCCTAGTGCTCCCTTTACCTGACACCGAGGGACAGGGCTGTCTGATGGGGGAGCGGGGTGCCAGGCAGTCCTGCCACTGGGCCCTTGCAGGAACCTGGTGGGAGACACTGCAGCAGAGCAGTCAGGGGTGTGCCGAGGAACAGGGACGTTGGGTGTGGCGGGACAGGCCCCAGAACCTGAGCCTACCCCCACACCCTGCCTCCCTTTCTGGCCCACATCTGCCGGGGGCCCCTCCCCCTTCCTGGCCTTGGCCCAAGTTGGGTCCCTGACCAAGCCCAGCTGGGGTGGGTGTCCACCCGTGAGAGCCACCTGGGAGTGAGTGTGGTCATGTGTGAACAGAGAAGAGTGGTAAGCACGAGGTCCTGCCAGGCCAGCCCCCCAGAGTCCAAGTGGAGCCTGGGTGCCCCCAGGGCAGGGGCTGGGGGCTGTCTGAACCACACTCCCTGGGGTGGTTGCCCCCGTGCCCCTTAAGGCCTCAAGCTGGAGCGTGGCCTCCCGGCCTGGCACGGCCTGGTCTCCTGTAATCCCTGGGCCCAGCCATTAGCTGAGGACCCCAGGGCACAGAAGTGGGGGCTTTCCGAGCCCACCTGGCGAGGGGTGGGCCTGAGCCTTGGAAGGGCCTTCCCATCCTAGCCCTCATGCTCCCCGGCAGGGTAGGGGAGGGAGCCGAGCTCAGCCTCGGGGCTGCGGAAAGGCGTGGACCCCAGAGGGCTGGGGGTGGGGGGGTAGAGGCAGCTGAGGCCGCCAGAGCTGCGGTGTCCTGGTGGGCTGGGCGTGCATGAGCCTGGACAACCTGGAGCAGCTGCCAGGCCGAGGGTGGCCCAGGGGTGGGGCCTTGGACAGCTGGCGGGGTGTGGAAGGCCTGTTACAGGCAGGGCTGGCAGGAGGCCCTTCAGAGCTAAAGATAACCTCCCCGGGTGCGCCCCCTGGCCGCCTGTGGGAGCCCTACGGGAACACGAGGGGTGAGGTGGGCTGGGCTCGCCGATGCTGCCTTCCCGAGAGTGAGGTGGCCGTCCTGGGTGAGGGTGAGGGGCCCAGGGAGCCGGCTCCAAGACGTGGGTGCAGACCCTGTCTGGCCTGGCCAAGCTGAGGAGGGGGACGCCCCCAGGAGGGGCAGCAGCTGTAGGACTGGACAGCTGAGAGGCCGCGAGGCCTGGCTGGCTCTGGGGGCCCAGGGGGAGCGGTGCCTTGAGCCCGAGGCTACCTTTGGGGCCACAGGCTGGGGGCACACCGGAGGGATGGCCTGGGGACATGCGGGTGGGGCTCCCGTCAACCCCTGTCCCTGCGGCCCTGCCTCCCGATGCCTGCTTTCGCTCTCTCCTGTCTTGTCTCCGTCTGTCCTTCTGTCTCCCTCTCTACCTGTGAAGCTCCAGACAGCCCTGCCCACTGCTGCCCACCACCATGGACAGAGACCTGGCTGCCCAGCCCAGGCCTGGGGGCAGAGCCAAGGGCCAGGCCCCCCCACCATTATGGGGGGAGGGGGAGAGCCTGGTGGACACGAAGCCGCAGCCCTTTGGGGAGAACCCCTTCGTGGTGGCCGAGTGGTCGTCCAGGCCTCCCCGGGGACAGCCCCCGGGCTGGGGTCGGGTCGGGGAGGTGAGGACTAGCCTTGGGCTGCCCAGGCAAGCACCCACCCCGGCAGCTGGGAGCCCCACCCCCCGTCCCCCAGGCCACCAGCCCTACCCAGCCTTGGCCCACCGGCTGCCCGCTTCTGCAGGTGCCGTCAGGGGTCACTGGAGCTCAGACTGACGAGGCCCCCTGCTCTCCTGGTGGCCAGCAGGTGAGTGTCCTGGGACGAGGGCGCCCACAGATGGGGGAGGACAGTGCAGGGGGGCTGGGTGCGGTTCCCCACCGAGGTCTCCCTCTGAGCTGCCACCCACCGCGGTCAGAGCTGACTTGGGCCTCTCCAGCCACCCCCTGGGATAACAGAGTCTTGTCTGAGTGCGCAGCCTAGGACGCCGTCCCGGCCGAGCTTGTTGGGTAGGCCGGGGGAGGGGCTCTCAGCTCCCTGTACCTAGAGGGTTCCAGCCTTCCGAGAACTGGGGAGGCCTGAGTCCCCACACCACACCAGCACAGCCACGGCTCTTGTCGGCCCCTCCTCCCTGCCTGTCCGCCGGACTGCTCCCTTCCTCTGGTGTGGGTCCCTCGGCTGTGCTCCCCCAGACCCCAGCTGGGGGCCCTGGCCTGCCAGGTTCTGCTGCATGGGGCAGAGCCAGGCCCTGGCAATGCCCACCCGGATCCTGCCCCTCCACATGGGCGCCCACCGCGGCTCCTCTTTTTGTCTTCTGCCCCTAATCTGATCCCTGGATTCCACCCCTCTGGCTCTCCACCTCTGCCCCCTGCAGACCAAACCCGGGGTGATCCTGCCACTGGCTCAGGCTTGGCCCAGGGGCTCCCCGACGCCTAAGGGCAGAGGTGGCCCCTCCGGGTTCGTGAGTGCACTCAGCTAGTGGGCGGGGCCGGTTTCGTCCTCCTAGGACGGTGGGCGGAGGTTGGGGTGACAGCCGGCAGCGGGGACGGGCTGCACCGGCCCACAGGCACCGCTCACGCGCAGCCCACCCCCGCAGCCGTCGTCGACCCCGCCCTCCCCGGACGAGCTGCCCGCCAACGTGAAGCAAGCCTACCGGACATTCGCCGCCGTGCCCATCACGCACCCGCCCGACGACGCCTCAGTCCAGGCATGTGGGGGCGGCCGAGGGCCCCTCCTGTCCCGGCGTGGGCCCCACCCTGACACCACCCCTGAGGGAGCCGGCTGGCTAGGTCTCAGCACCCGCTCCCCGCAGCCCTCCACGCCGGGGCCCGCGGCCTCCCCGGAGCAACTGTCCTTCCGCGAGCGGCAAAAGTACTTCGAACTGGAGGTGCGGGTGCCCCAGGCGGAGGGCCCGCCCAAGCGCGTGTCCCTAGTGGGCGCCGATGACCTGCGCAAGATGCAGGAGGAGGAGGAGGCCGTCGCCGCCGGGGGTCCGGAAACAGGGCCCGCCCTGGACGGGGAGGCCCCGGACGAGCAGGAGGAGGAGCCGCCCTGGGCCGGCCCGGGCCCTGCGGGAGGGTGAGGGGCTGCCCCCAGCTCGCTGGCTCCCCGTGTGACCCACCCTGTCCCTGACACCTGATGTGCTCCGCTGCCCACAGCCAGTCTGACTCCTCCTGTCCCGTTCTCTCCCCCAGGCTCAGCCCGGCGTCCCCTCCGCCCCTGGGAGGCGGCGCCCCGGTGCGGACGGCCAAGGCCGAGAGGCGCCATCAGGAGCGGCTGCGCGTGCAGAGCCCAGAACTGCCTGTGCCTGAGCGGGCCCTGTCCCCTGCTGAGCGCCGGGCCCTGGAGGCGGAGAAGAGAGCGCTGTGGAGGGCAGCCAGGTGAGGCCCTGGCCCCGCCCACCCCACCGTCCGGCCCCGCCCACCTGCCCCGTCCCCCCCTCCTGTTGGTCTCCCGCAGGATGAAGTCTCTGGAGCAGGATGCCCTCCGTGCACAGATGGTTCTCAGCAAGTCCCAAGAGGGCCGCGGCAAGCGTGGGCCCCTGGAGCGGCTGGCTGAAGCCCCCTCGCCTGCGCCCACCCCCTCCCCCACCCCCTTGGAAGGTGTGTGGAGGGGGTTGGGGAGGGAAGGGAGGGGAGGTTGAGGACCTATCCGGCGGCACGGATCTCTCCCAATGCCCGCTTCTTGTCTCCCAGACCTCGGCCTTCAGACCAGCACCTCTCCTGGACGGCTGGTGAGACGCCCCAGTGGCCTTGGCCGTGGTGGGGGCCGGCCCTCCCCTCCTCTTCCTCGTTGTCTCGAGGTGGGGGCCAACCCCACCTCATTCTCTCCCTCCCCGCTCTCCCTCTTCACGCTGTCCTTTCAAGTTCTTGTCTGGAAAGAAGTTTGACTACAGGGTGTTCGCAGCCCTCCCTTCTTCCAGACCTGTCTATGACATCCAGGTACCGCCCACCGCACATGGGCCTGGCACCACGCTCTTGCCCCCCTCACCCTGTGCTGTCTCGGCCTGCCCCCTCCGCCAGTGGGGCCCCCGGCCCGTGCCCCCTCGCTTGTTCTTTCCCCCCTTCCTCTGTTCCTTGGTTGTGGAACCTTCCACCACTGTCTGTCCTCCCTTGAGGGTGGGTCCTGAGCCCTGGGCTCTGCCCACACCCCACCCAGACTCTGTGGGGCCTCAGACTGGGGACCCCAGGCCCCAGCTCAAGGTGGGTAGTAGTTTCGGGGGATTCTGTGCTGGGGCCTCACCAAGCCTCTCTCTCGTTGTCTTAGTCCCCAGATTTTGCTGAGGAGCTGAGGTCTTTGGAAGAGTCTCCAAGCCCCGGTGAGTTGAGAGGCAGGGGATGGGGTGAGCTCCTGGGGTGCCAGGGTGCCTGCAGCTCACCCCCACCCCACCTTGCAGGTCCACAGGAGGAGGACGGAGAGGTGGCCCTGGTGCTTCTGGGCAGGCCCTCATCCAGCGCCTCCGGCCCTGAGGAGGTGACGCTTTGCAGCAGCCGCCGCCCTGTGCGGCCCGGACGCCGTGGTCTGGGCCCCGTGCCTTCCTAGAGGGGCAGGGTCACCGTGGGCCTCCCCTTCCCCGGGGCCGGCCTCCCTGACTTGGGGTGGGGGTCCTGCCAGCTCCCAACACCACCCTTGCCCTGAGTCTTTTAACCTGGGTGTTAGCATTTTAAAGAGCCCCCTCAGGAGTTCTGGCCTCTGACTAACCACCCCCCCAAGCCGGGACCTCTTTGGCGAGACTGTAACTAGTGATGTTTGTACAACCAAAGACTCTATTTTGTGGTTTAAGGAGAATAAAGTTGACTACGTTTTACCTCCTGCCTGGCTGGCTGTCCCCCCACCCACCAAGGCCAACCACCCTGCCCCTTTAAGCCTGGGGCTGGCAGAGATTTGGGGGCCACGACCACCCTGGCTACCGGACCCGCATTTGCCCTGTACTTCACTCTGGGCTGGGCCAGGTCGAGAGGGACTGCTTAGCCCTCCTGCACCCCAGAAACACCATGGCGCCCCCGTATGTGTCTGTCAGAGTAGAACTGCGCTCTCTGTAGGGTTTTCAGTGGCTGATTTTCGGGGAAGTAGGTCACCAGGCCTTTCTGAGGTGCGTCTTGGTGAACCCAAACCTACAACTTTTCTGTTTGCACCACCCGGGACTCTGCCGACACACTCCCCAAGTGCCCTGCAAACCAGTGTCCTCCAGCCGAACTTCGGCCTGGCTGACCAAAGCCCGCGCACTCTGCCGCGCTCCCAGTCACCGACGGGCGCAGTCTCAGGCACGTGCGGAGTCCTAGACGCAGCACCCTGCAACGCCAGCACTTTATTGGGGTCGGTGCTAGAGGCTTGTGCCGGGAAGCAGCACGCGCACCGGGAGCAGCGCCCGCAGCTGCTCCGCCGGCGGCCACCGGACCTTGGTAACGAAGAAGAGGTGGAAGTGAGCCAGGCGCGCTGCCTGGAACTGGGTGGGGTCGTACTCGGGCCCGTCGGCAGGCCGCAGCAGCGACCGGTACCGCTCCTCCTCCAACAGCGCGCGGCTCAGCAGCTCCTGCGCCAGGCCCGCCTGCACTTCCTCCAGCTGCCGCTGCACCACCTGGAACATGTCCACCTCGCGTAGATCGAACACCAGCGGTTTTCCGTACCTGCGGGGACGGTTTGGTGAGGGAGTGGCTGGGGCTTTCCCCACCCTGCACGCCCGCCCTGCCCTGCCTCACCTGAGCGCCCCTAGCAGAGCCAGCCGCATCCTCTCCGGCCGCAGGTGCTCTGGGTTCATCGTGTCCAAGTAGTTAGTGTCCTGGTAGCGCAGGAAAGTGGCCGCCTGGCCCGAAGGATCAATGACAAGAGGCCACCTAGGGGCAGCCGCCAGGTCACCTCTGTCCCTGGGCCCGGCTCGCCCCACGCCCCGTCCCAGAGCACTGACCGGCCGTCGTTGCGGATGCGGTCGCCCACGTCCTTTATTAGCACGTCGTGCAACTCAGTCACCTGGCACTTCAGTCCAGGAACGTCCTCCTCCTCTGTGGGGACGTCAGGGTGGGGTTGCCGGAGGCCTGGACCCCCACCCGCCTCCTTGGGCTTTGCCTCTCCTGCCCCACTCCCCCAGTTCCCCGCCCCAGCCCACCCTCTTGGGTCTGCTCCCGCAGCGCCAGCCTGGCCATGGCCAGCGTCTCCTCGGCCTTCTGGGCCTCCTGCCGCAGTCTGTCCACTTGGGCCTCTGCGTCCCTGACGGCCTTGCAGAGAGGTGGGGCTGACTACCACCGCTCCCACCCCCCTCCGCGTAGACCAGCCTCTCGGAACGTTTCACTCCCTCTGCACCGAACATGGTGCGAACATCTGGGGAGGGGCCAGATGTCTGGGAGGCGAAGGCAAGCCCAGGAAACCCCAGCCTGGGAGAGAGAGGCTCTGAGTGTGCGAGCCAGAAGGGGTGTCCAGAAAGAACGGGGCACACAAGTCAGCTCAAAGCCAAAAAAGAGTTGGGCAGTGTAGCTCCGGCCGGCCCCGCCGCCTGCAGGTGTCGCCCACCTGCAGTGTGAGCTCGGTTTTGCCCATCTGCTTCCGCTCACACTTGTCGTGCTCCGTGATCCTCCGGTTGAGCTCGCAGTAGGCCTGCTGCAGCTGGGGCGGGCAGAGACGAAGGCAGGCACTGGCTAGGCTGCACCTGCGCCCTCGGTAGGAGCCACGGACCCTCCAGCCCTCCTACTCGCCGGGGCAAGCCTCCGGGTTCTCCCCGGCCCCACTACCCGCGCCCCCGGCTCCTCCCAGCCCCGCCTCTCACGGCCAGGCACCACCACCTGCCCCGCCTTCCAGCGCCTTCCAGCGCCTTCCAGCGCCTTCCAGCGCCTTCCAGCGCCTTCCAGCGCCTGACTTCTCCCCAGCTCCTCCCCCTGCCCTGCCTCCTGCAGCCTGGCCCCGCTTCCCGGTTCCTGCCGCCTTCTCCCGGCCGCGCCTCCCGAGGCCAGGCTCCTCCTCCTGCCTTGGCCCCGCTTTCCACCTCCAGGCCCCGCCCCGGCCCCGCACCCCCTA